TAAAGGAAAAATTGAAGTAAAACCTTTCTCGCCAACTTTGTAAAACAAACATAACAATACAAGGATTTTTGTGTGATATCCAACCCAAGTAGAAAAATTTGAGCTGAATAAACTGCATAATATATTGAAATGAGCAAAAAAAGAATTTTGATTTTTTCTCATTGCTTGTGAAACAGAAGATTTTTCTTTTCTAGTCTCTATACCATTGTCACTTAATAGTTTTGATTGGCTAATACTTTTGTAACATATCTTTTCTTCAGTGATACAAAATTTAGTGGCAACAGCACCAAAAATATATAAGAAACTGATAAATGTAGTACTAATATCTGCAGTAGCAGCAGACAAAACACTGATTAGCAATACACCAACCTTGTAAGCCACAACTTGTACAGAGTTGTATAAGCCTTTTACAGATAAGAAAAAAAAAGTATAAAAAAATTAAATTTTAGAACAATTTAAATAACAATACAAATAAACTGACAACCAAAACACTTCATACACATAAGTTAAATATCTTAACAATTTGATGCTGAAAACTAATTGCGAACAAAGCTATAAATTTTAATGTTTTACAATGTTTTAAGGCCTTTTATTTGTAATTTTTTATTTTTAAAACATTAGGAATGGATTCCATAAACATAAACTGACAGATAAAATTGTTTGAAATAAGTGTACATATATTGACTGACACAAGGTTAGGCACATAAAAACATTTTCATATAAATACACATATTAAACAAAAAAAAAGTTAAGCACAAAAAAATAATTCCATGTAAGTGTATGTAAATTAACAGAAACAAGGTAAGGCATTAATAAGTCTATTTACTTTGAATGACATATAAAGATAAATACACATATTAAACAAAAAAAAAGTTGAGCACAAAAAAATAATTCCATGTAAGTGTATGTAAATTAACAGAAACAAGGTAAGGCATTAATAAGTCTATTTACTTTGAATGACATATAAAGTGAAATAAATGTATAACATTTACTTCACTGTTTGGCTTTTTTTAAGGAAAAAATCAATTTAAAATTGGCTTGTTATTAACCAAACAACTTTAAATAATTTAAATAAATTTTGCATACAATAAACAATTTTTTTAACTTTATTTTTGTTTGCATGACTGACACTGCCAACTCAACGTTTCACTTTATTTTACTAAACATTGACATGTTTTAATATTTTTGAAAATGGAAAAAGTTTGCAAACATGATATAACATCTAAAAAAGCTTAAAAGATTAAAATTAAAAACTTTTGGAGTTAAAGAAACAAAAATACAGTTAAGAAAATAAGCAGTCAATATATCCATTATTTCATAGGCCCAAGATTGATACCTAAAGATAACCCATACAAAAATCTTTTCAAATTTTTCTGTGTAGAATTAATTATAATATTTAAGTTGGAGAATAATACTAAGTAATTATATAAACAAGTATTGATATTAAAATTTATTATCTTAAGAAGAATGGATCAAATAATATATATATATATATATATATATATATATATATATATATATATATATATATATATATATATATATATATATATATATATATATATATATATATATATATATATATATATTCTACTCTAAAACTATTATCTCATTCAAGAAGAATGAGATAATAGTTTTAGAGAGACCAAACCATGATCAGACGCACCTAAGGGTGAGTGTGAAGAAACTGAGCACTGACTAGGATCAGAAACAAGACATAAGTCGAGTAGAGAAGGTAAATGATTCGGGTTGTCTGGAAAGCGAGTTGGAAAGTTGACTATTTGAGTAAGGGATTGAGAAAGACAAAAGTAGTGGGCCTTAATGCCTGCAGAGTCACTGACACTAGAGCCAAGCCATTCAGTGTGATGAACATTAAAGTCACCGACAATATATATATATATATATATATATATATATATATATAAATATATATATATATATATATATATATATATATATTTATATATATATATGTATATATTTATATATATATATATATATATATATATATATATATATATATATATATAATATATATATATGTATATACTTATATATATACACACACACACACACATATATATATATATATATATATATATATATATATATATATATATATATATATATATTCAGTGCTTGAAGTGGAGAAAAAAAAGTAACAGGATGGTATTTGGTAAATTAAAAATACCCTCTTGCCTAATTATATATATATATATATATATATATATATATATATATATATATATATATATATATATATATATATATATATATATATATATATATATAGAACTAGATATTGAAAATGGGGGCTAGATGTCTGGTTTTAACGAAGGAGAACACAGAAAAAAAAATTATTTTACCAGGCTGTAATGTCCTCTGTAAAAGCGAAATGTCTGGCAACCCTAGTTTAATCACAAAAACGCCTCCTAGTTTAATCACAAAAACGCCTATCAATTTTTTTTTCTTTTTTTAAAAGTTGCTCAGAATAGTTAAGTTATAGCTATTACAAAGAATTAAAGAATTGATTGTCTAAAACAGAAATGAAAACGAGGTTGAATATACTTAAATTTATTGCTTAAAAGATATGTATTTTGATAAATAAAAAGAGAAAAAAAAGGTGGCAACTTAAGAGTTTTGTAACTGAAACAGTTTTGGCTATATCAAACTGTTCTTCTGGTTGTTGTTGACTTGTTGTTTCTGTTTCCTTAGTAGTTTTAAAATTTAAAAAAGTTTATAAATAGGAATGTTCATTAATGATGAAAAATTTTCTAATCCTGAAAAATCTTGACCACATGCACGCATTTAATAAATTATACATTTTTCTTGCATCTTTTTAGGGTTAAAAAATAATAGTATAAAATGGATTCTTGTGGATTTAGAAAAGCTTTAAATGATGACTGTCACATGTTTAGTACAAAAAAAAGGTTTCAAAGATTTTTGTAATCTAGAAAAAGACTTTCAAAATACTTATATTTGAAGGTATGGCTCGAGACTATATCATACAAAGCGATAAATATTATTTGTTTTCATCATGAGCAGGTTATAGGACTGATATTTCTATTAAAGAATGATAAGCGTTGTGATGTTTTAAAAAGACTCAAAAAGAACATTAAAGGTAATAATATATAAAAAATAAATGTCTAAGTTATGATAACATAAAGGCTTTTTTAGATAAGGAATTAATTGAGATTGATGAAGAAGAAGAAATTCAATTTAATTAATGGCAAAGTACTGATAGATCACAATTAATTAATCAGACAGTTTACTTATTTGAATATAAAGAATATAAAGTTTTTTTCTCACATTAATCTACTAACTTCACATTCATATATTGCTAAATATCAAACTTGAAAGAGCTAAAAATGAGGTTACAATGAATGTAATATACTAGCAAAATTTGCAGAGAACTATCAATTGTAATACAGGATGAAATACAAAGTTACCATTGGAATAAACAACAATGCACACTACATCCAGCTGTTATACATTTTAAGGAAATTTCTAAAACATATATTCAGCAAAAGTCGCTCTGTTTTTATAGCGATAACAATGATCACGATACATGCTTTGTGTATAAATTTCAAAAGAAAGTTGTAGAGTACATTAAATAGTATTTAGTGGATATCAATAAAATCTATTATTACTCTGATGGATGTTCTGGTCATTATAAAAACTATAAAAAATTTATAAATCTATGTCAAGATTACAGCTTAATGGGTATTTTTCAACCCATACCATGTTTCAAGCCATGCAAAATCTGCTTATGATGTCATAGATGGTACCATTAAAAAAACAAGAGCAATAGCAAGTTTACAAAGTTTACAAAAGTTGGAGAACCAATTATAAACCAGTTTTACATCGCCAATATAAACACAATCATATTTTATAAAATTACCAAAAAAACAGTAAGAGCAAGGCAATAGCAACATCAACAAAGGAGCGATTTTTATTTCAATTATAAAAAAAAACACAATCCGATTCTTTAAAATAACCGTAACTAAACTATTCAATTCAACTCCTAAAAAAAAAAATTTGAAATATACATCTGTATTTATATAATTCATATCATTTGAAACTATAAATTCATAAGATCAGATTTTATAAAGTTACAAAGGAAACAGAAACAGCAAGTCAACAACAACTAAAAAAAAAGTTTGATATAGTCAAAACTGTATTAGTTACAACACTGTCAAGTTACCACCTTTTTTTTCCCCTCTTTATTTATCAAAATACATGGCTTTTAGGTAGTTTTGAGCATGTTTTTTTTTATACTTATAGATTTTACTACATCTTTGGAACTGGTTGAAACTTGAGGATAAAATGTTCGGATGTTCATAATTTACTAAAATCTTTAAGTGGTTTAAAAAACAGCAAAATCTGAGACTTAGGGTTGCATGCCTTGGGTATTTTCACATGGAATTGCCCTATAATGACATTAAAAACTCCAAAATTAATTACTGTATCAATATTTTTCCATAAATTATACATAAACTTTTAAAAGTGTTTTGAATGTAAACTTAATTATTTTTTCACTTGTTGCGCTCTCGTCTGGAGACTTGCTCAAAGTGGTCACTTTTTAATATAAGCATAAGGAGTATTTATTGGCTTCAGTACATACATCAACTATCTTATAGTCTGCAGCTACAAGAGAGTGTTGCGACATCAACTATCTTATAGCCTGCTGCTACAAGGAAGTACTGATACATCGGCTGAGGGTTTGGCATGGGGCAGCAACCTTTTTTCTTTTATTATTTTACCTAATATTCCTAATGTTTAAAAAGCCTCCTCTGACGAGAGCGTAACAACCAAAAAATAAAATTATTTTAGGCCACTCAACTGTAGAATTACCCAACTTTTTAGTTAATATATATATTTTTTTATGCAAACATAAATCAAATTTTTTATTTTTTTATCAATTATATCATAGTATTATTAACAAAAATAATCTTTATTTATATAACTTATATAAAATGTAATTAATTACAAATACCTACATTTTCCTGTTTAACAAATGCAATTGCTGTTGCATCAACTGCTATATCCATAATTACAGCTAGAAGACTATTTATAAATAGCAAAATGGTTAGAACATAAATATTGTTAAAAGAAAAACCAATAGTAGTAAAAGAAACTGATAGCAACATTAACGAGCAACTAATCCAATGCTTTCTTTGTGACACGCAATTATTTAATTGTGTTGCCAAAATCCCCTTAAGTAGCCATGGTAAGCTCAACACATGAATGAAGCTTATATTCCATAAGTTATAACCATCTTTTTTCAACACCAAGGGTAAAAAATTTGTTTGTAGTCCATAAGGTAACCCTTGTAATCCATATAAATAGGTTATCAAAACAATTCTTTTCATTTATCTAAAAACTAAATAATATGCTGGATAAAATTTGAAATTAAAATATTAGATACATTAAGACAATATTTTTATTATTGTCGTAGGATCAGTAGTTAAAGTTATTTTTATTAATAGTAATTAGATTTATTTCTATAAAATTATTAAAATGCAACATAAATGGTAGGCATTATTTGCATACGCGCGTAGAAATATTTTTTTGCTATTTGTACGCGCGCACGCTTTTAACAAATAAATTGAAAAGGTACCGTAAACGGGGGTGAATATGAACGCTTTTTGAACATTTTTGCATCATGAAAGAAAACTGTTGGCCTAATCGCAACCATTTTTTCTGTAACAGAACATTATACTACTCAGCTTCCTGTATTAGTCGTAAGCCTGATCAACACTATGCAGTAAATACCTTAGTTTTCTGGTTTTATACGAGCATATACGTATTTCCGAAACGGGGTGAAAATGATCGGCCGATTTGGGGTGACTTTGAACACTACATATTATTTCTATATTCTTGTATATCGCTATATTACCTTATTACAATGGGGGAAAAAACTGTTAAAGATCAAAACAGATAACATGAAGTTTATTTTACATGGAACATATTTTTATTTAACTAAGTTCATGTGAAAAATTAGCATACTATGTTTAAAAACTAGTTTTTTCAATATATTAACATGTATCACAATATTTATTATAAATCTGTTCCACATAAAAACAGAACATTAAATATCACTATCCTCAAATTCTTCAAATGACTCACACATGCTGCATACAAAGTATAAGATATTTTCAATATTGAGCTCATAATAACCATCTTTATCATAAATGAGGCCACAACACTGGAGGTGATATGGTTTACTGCATTTGTCGCATTGAACCCACACGTCGTCGCTTAACTCTACCCATTTTTTGTTACAGAAAGTACAGTACCAATCATTATCTGTGTTGCTTTTTAGCTCTGTTGAACTTGATGGAATTGACTCAACTAAAGAATGAATTCCTTTACCACCTTTGGACCACAAGGTTTGCGTTTTGTAGTTGGATTTGTGCCTAACCCTAGATTGTTTTTTAGAATATCTAAAACAGATTTGTTAAGAACCATAACGGTGTCATTACCACTAGGATCTTTATATTTTCCTGGAAGACGTTTTATAACCTCTGTTCTGTCCATAGGGTAGATTCCCGTTGCTTTAAATCCGCTAACCAAAGCTACTGGTCGCAAAGTATTATTTAGTTTATTTAAAAGCGTAGGTAAATGTTCTTTTGGGATAGCTCCTTTGATACGACTTTCTGATCTCCACTTCAAAAGAATACTCCTCCACGACTGCTTTAATCCTCTAAAAACAGCAACATCTAATGGTTGGCAGAGATGAGTCGCATTTGGAGGCATTGTTATTGTCTGTTATATTGGTCTCATCATAGTTATAGATATTTTCTGGAGGTATATCCTTCAACTCTTTATACAAATTATCAAAATATTTGCTAAGGGTATCTAACTGTGCTTAACATTATCAGCAACCCTGTTTGTTAAGTTGTCTCTTCATGAAAAACTGAACCCAATCTACCCCAGGCATATTGTTTTTGAATCGAGCGTCAGTTATACTCCTTTTATCACAATATGATTTGACTAAAAGTCTTATATCCAAAGAATCAAATGGTACCCTCCAATCAGTCATATGTACAATTGTTTGGACAAATAAATTTTCTGTTATACTATCAAGTCTGGTTTGTCCGCCGTTTTTTTTCGGAACTTGATCCCCAGCTTAACTTTTTTGTGTAATGTTCCTAATGGAATATTGTACTTTTTTGAAGCTTTCCTGAAGCTAAATCATTGGTTTTTGATTTTAATTAAAGCTATTTCTAAGTCTTTTTTTGTATAACTTGTTTTATAAGCTCTACTGTTTTCCTTTCTCTTGTAATTTCGAGGCAAAGTTCTAAAAATTAACAAAATATAATAAAAAATCGTGTTAAAAAAATGTCATTTTCAAATGAGCTTATAATCGGATACAGACAAGTTATACATTAAATTATTGTTTTATTAGAACATTATTTACCTGAACCTAAATTGAGGTAACTTTGATGACGTTTAGATGAGCGGTTCTTAAGATACTCCTTGATAGGTGGGTTAATAACACGAACCACGTAGCTTGTACTGTTTATATGCGATAGAGAAAAGGCGGGAAAAGAAAATTTTGAGGGCAGCCGAAAATTATCTTCCACACATTATATTTAAGGCAAGTGAGTCAAAAAATTTTAATTTTTAGCTATATTTTATGTGCTGCTTCACCATTAAGTTAAGGTAGTACTAGTGTTCATTTTCACCCCGCTGTTCATATTCACCCCCGTTTACGGTACCTATACCAATACCAAACTATACCAATACTTATAGTTATTCAACTTATTTTTGCTTATACTTTGTAACTATGTGCACACTATTGTTTGTGTATGTTTTTGACTTGCCTGCATTTCGTTTTAACAACGAAGTATACAAAGAGATAAAACATATTCCGACTATATTTCATAAAGAATTTTATCTATAGTTACGCCAATTCACAAGAATGGATGTCATTCGGATGTTTTGAATTACAGACCCATTTCCATAACATCAGTGTACTGTAGAGTAATGGAGAGCATCATAAAGGACAAAATAGTAGAACATCTTTCAACAAATAATTTAAAATCAAAGGATCAACACGGCTTCGTTAAGGGAAGATCATGCACAACAAATTTGCTTAAATCATTTGATCTAATTACAAAAGCTACCGACAACGGCATTCCAGTTGATATTTATAGACTTCAGTGAAGCATTCAATTGAGCACCACAAACTTTTTGCAGATGACACAAAAATGATTGGAATTATAAAAGATAAAAACGATTCGATCAGTTTACAAAATGATATTAACATTATATCAAAATGGTGCAAAACATGGCAAATGTCTTTAATTGAGAGCAAATGTAAAGTAATTCACATCGGAAAATCAAATCAAAAGTATAAATATCAGCTAAATGGGAATCAATTATTAAAGGTAGAGTTTGAGAAAGACATAGGAGTGATCATCAGCGCTTACTTAAAGTGGGACCGGCAAATCCATTCCGTAATAGCAACGTCAAATCGTATATTGGGTCAGCTTAAAAATTCATTCAAATAGATTAACATTACTACTTTTAATATGCTCTTTACGTCAATGGTGAGGCCACATCTGGATTACGGTGCTTCAGTACGGAATCCGAATAAATTAAAAGATATCAAAGCATTTGAATCACTCCAAAGAAGGGCAACTAAACTAGTCCAAGAAATTAGTGGTAAAAAATACGAGGAAACGATCCGCTGCCTTGGTCTGACAACACTGGAAGAAAGACGATTAAGAGGAGACCAAATACAACCATTCAAAATTAAAAATGGACTAAATAAAATAAACTTATATTCTAGTTTAACCCAAGAAAAACACAATCATGGCACAAGGCAACAAAACTTTCAAACCAGAGAAGAAAACAAGTCTGATTCTCAAACCAGAGAAGAAAACAAGTCTGATATCAGGTACAACTTCTACACAAACAGGATAGTCAAACAATGGAATCAGCTGCCAGTATACTGTTAAAACTTAAAAACAACAAACATTTTTAAAAACAATTATGAAAATTATATAAAAAATGCATATTTACAACTACCATAAATGGTCTTTATATAGCCATTTCTCACCACGATGTCGTTGTAGTTTGATGATAATAATAATAATAATAATAATAATAATAATAATAATAATAATAATAATAATAATAATAATAATAGCAATAATAATTAAAATAATAATAATAATAATAGTGTATTTTTCAATTATAGTCCAGTCCAAATAGTTAAAAAAATAGTGGTAGGTTTGCAATAATTCGCATAGAGCTGAAAATTGGTACAGACGTTGGGGACATTATCAAAAATAAATTATAAAAAGTTCCCACCGATTCGACATCTGCAAAAAAAGTTATTCAAAATAAAGGATAAAAAATTTTGTCGGTTTGATAGTGTATTTAATGATCTACAGAAAAAAAAAAATTTCTGCGGCTTTCTTCCGATCTTGGATTAAAACAGCTAAGTTTTAGGGGGTTTTATTTTTTGTTTAGCCGTTCTAAAATAAATTACATTTAATTAAAATTAGGTTCTTATGATTGTGATACGTTAAAAAAAAAATTTAAGAGTATTAATTTGTTCTAATTTTTATTTATTAATTTTTTTAAATATAATTTTCCTATAAAGTGGTTTTTTTATGAACACTGTTATAAAAAATAATTTACTAATATTATTTAGCAAGATTTTCTTAACTACATTTTCTTTTTTAAACTAAGTTTTAAACTCTAAAAATATTTCGATACGTAATATCAAATCAAGTTTGCCTTAAACAATATTTCGTCTGATTTTTGCAGTTAATACATTTGGTTATTGTTAAATATCACTTATAACGATTTGTACTTCTTAATACTTTTTTACAAATGTCGCAATTATATTTTATTTGTATTACACTTTTAACAACAAGTGAAACAGTTCTTGTTGATCGTGGAATAAAGACTTTGATTCTAGTGTTGATAGAAATTTCGGGCTCCTTGAGTAGCTAAAAAGCCAGAAGTCTGTGACAATTCATGTGCAATGCTGTAAAGTATATATTCGGAAGAGTGCTATCCAACTTATTTTGTGGCGATGCACTGTGGTGCAAAACCTCAAAATATTGGCCGTAATTCAAAATTTTTCAAGACATTATAAAATTATTTTTTAATTTTTTTTAAAACGAAGTATACTGCTTATATTATCTAAAAATATATAGATTAGTTATTTATGTTTATTAACAGGACCGCTACACGGATTTAAAAGCCGTCATTTTTGTAATAAATTTTCATTAAAAAAGTGCAGAAGTTATAATTTCAATTTTTTTTTTTTTTTTAATTATTTATAAAATAATTTTTTTTTTTGTCAGTATGTTTAAGATATCTTAACTTCTACGTCAAAAAAAGATTTCACTTACTTAAAATGAAAAAAAAAAACTTT